GATGACAGAGACTCTGTCTCAAAAGGAAATGAAGTAAGAGAAAGAGAGAGAGAGAAATCAGAAAACTTAGTCTTTCTCTACAAACCCAGAAGAAAATTAATATCAGCAAACAAGTGTGGAGGACAGTATTGAACATGGCTGGCTTTGGGGTCTTCCAACACCCTTCTTTGATAACTATACCAAAAACCTGTCCCCATTTGCTTTCCAGGGACTCACTTCTTTCACATTGTGGGTATTCTTATGGGGATAATAATAACCTACCGTGAAGTGTTGTTATAAGGATTGAGTTACTTAATAAATGTTAAAGACTTAGAAGAGAGTTTTGCATATGGTAGGTGCTCAATAAGGGTTAACCATTTTATTTTTGGCAAGTCTTGTAGCCCCAATACTCTAGAACTGAATAGAGGTCTCCTTACCCCACCAGTGCAAAACTACCATGTACCCTACGCACATCATAAAAAGTTGCAATATTTTATTCTTTTAGAGACACAGTCTCGCTCTGTTACCAAGTCTGGAGTGCAGTGGTACAATCATGGCTCACTGTAATCTCAAACTCCTCGACTCAAACAATCCTTCTGCCTCAGCCTCTGGAGTAGTTATAACTATGGGCACATACTACCATGACCAGCTATTTAAAAAATTTTTTGTTGAGACAGGGGTCTCACTATGTTGGCCAGGCTGGTCTCAAACTCCCTCAAGTGATCCTTCCACCTCCACCTCCCAAAGGCCTGGAATTACAGGCTCAATTTTTGTTTTGTGCACAACTCTCACTAGAAAGAAAGCCCTTGAAGGCTTTGTGTCTATTAGTGGGCGTTCAGTGAATGTTAGTTTAAAAAGGTTCTGAATGACCTTCTAGGGGACTCTCAGAATGGAGGCCCCAATCACCGAAGTTATCCAATTGTTTGAAGGCAGAGTCTTTACTCAAATTTGACCCAAACTGGGGCTAACACTGGCATGTGTGGCATAGCAGGGACAACCAGCTCCTATACATGACCCTCTTGGGGGTCAGCCAGTTCCGCTGTTCTGCAGCGTTACTGTCTAGATCTTATCAGCCTTGAGGGCTAAGACTATGTCCAACGCTGGCCGCTGGGAGGAACTCGGGCCTTAGTTAACCAACACTAGAGTTCTGAAAACCGTGGTACACACAAGCTGGCAGCTGTAGCCCCCTGGCTGATGGCTGTCTTAGAGGTCTCATTCTTTTTTATAGAATAGGTAATAATTTTTAAAAATCGTGAAAAAGTCAAGCTAAAAGGACACTCAGGTAAGAACAAAACTTTCTTTACCCATCTAGCTGACGATGTTGTAATTTCTTTTCATGGAAAAGTATGTTTATTTGCTTTTTAAATCCCTAAGTGTCTTCACAGCATTTACTTTTTATAATGTATTTGATTTTGGATTGTGAGAAATCTGATTTTTAGTTTCATGGTTCAGTTAAGATTGGGAAGTGTGTGGCCAGGTGCGGTGGCTCATGCCTTTAATCTCAGCACTTTGGGAGGCCAAGCCAGGAGGATGGCTTGAGACCAGGAGTTTGAGATGAGTTTGGGCAACATAGTGAGACCTATCCCTACAAAAAATGTTTAAAAATTAGCTGGGCAGTCCCAGCTAAACAGGAGGCTCAGGCAGGAGGATTTCTTGAGCCTGAGGAGGTTGAGGCTGCGGTGAGCTGAGATCGTGCCACTGGACTCCAGCCTGGGCAACAGAGTGAGACCCTGTCTCAAAAAAAAAAGAAATGAAAGAAAAGGAAAGGAAAATAAAAGAAAAATTCAGAGGTGTGAAGGAAGAGTTTTTATTCCAATATAGTCTTAATTTTTAAATAATCAATTTCTCTGGTGTTTTTTGAAAATCTATGCTGGCAAAAATCAACTTTTCTATTTTGTTTTGCCTGAAATTAATTACATCAAGTAAAATGAAAACATGTTCACTTCAAGCAAAGCCCTGTGTAGAATAAGCCATTACTACACGTGTGCGATGAGTAAAGGAAGTACAAGCACCTGAGCAGAACAGGAAGCGCTTCTGTGCTGTGGGCTTGGCGGGCATGGCTTAGCCCGTTGTTTCATTGCACCTCTTGACAATGACATTTATAGAGGATCTATTGCAATCTGTTTTGGTAAAAAGGGCTTTTTTGTTCAGCAAGCCTGGAGTGCTGGAGTTTGAGTATCCAGAATTGTCCCTTACTTAGAGCAGGATCAAGATTACTTTATCTCTGTCTAGCAAATAATCTTAGCACCACATTTGATACTGAGAGGGTGTGTGATCATTCTATATTTTGCATTAATGCTATTTCATGCTTCTCTGGGGCAATAAACAGTAGAGAACCCTGTTATAATAAAAGGAAAGCTAGGGACAAGAACTATTTGCAAGACACTTTTAAAATGCTGTTAAGTTTAATCCTTCCAACAATCCTTCAAAGTATCCCCATTTTTTAGAGGAGAAAAAGAGGCTCAGCTAAGCCCAGGATCATGTCACTAAGAAACGAAGAAGGATTTGAACTCAGGCCGGCCTAATGTGTTCACGGACACACAGTGTAATCCCAGCTACTGAGGAGGCTGAGGCAGAAGAATGGCTTGAATCTGGGAGGCTTGGGTTGCAGTGAGCCAAGATCACGCAACTGCACTCCAGCCTGGGCGACAGAGTGAGACTCTGTCTCAAAAAAGAAAAAGAAAAAGAAGAAGAAGAAAATGAAAAGCAGCTTTCTTAGTGCACTGGGCAGCATGTTGGTCTCATAAGCTGAAGAAAATGAAAAGGCGAGACAGACTGAAAGGACATCTTCACACATATATATGACAAATGATAGGTATCCAAAATATGCAAAGAACTTCTGCAAATTAATAATTAAAAAGACAATCTGATTTTTTTAATGAGCAAAAGATTTGAATAGACACTTCATAAAATACATTATAAAAATACCAATGAACATATGAAAAAATAGTGCACATCAGTAGTCATGAGGGATATATAAGGGTAAAGCCACAATGAATAACACTTCACACCCAGTAGAATGGCCACAATTTAAAAGCCTGACAATAGCAAGTGTTGGCAGGAATGTGAAGAAACTGGACCTCTCATATTTTGTCATTGGGCAGTGTAAAATACTACAACCACATTAGAAAACAGTTTGGCAGATTCTAATAGGGCCCCAGCGATTCCACTCCTTGGTATCTATCCCAGAGAAATAAAAGCACAAGTCCACAAAAGACTTGCACAAGAATGCTTATAGCAGCTTTATTCATAACATCCCCAAACTGGAAACAACCTAAATGTCCATCAAAGAACAATGGATAAACAAACTGTGATACATGCATACAATGTAATGCTACTTAGAGATATGAAATAACAAACTCTCCACGCACACAACCATATGGATAGATTTTAAAAACATTGGGTTGAGTAAAAGAAACCAGAACAAAGAAGTACACACTCTCTGATCCTATTTATATGAAGTTTAGGAACAGGCAAAACTAATATGGGATAGAAATCACAACGGTGCTTGTCTGGTCGGGGGGGTGGCATATTGGCTGTCGAGGGCATGATGGAACTTTCTAAGGTGATGATATGTTCTAAATCTTGAATGAGATATGGGTTACATGGGGGTGTATGTTTGTCAAAATAGTCGAAGTGTGGCGTTAAGATTTGTGCATTTTAGCTGGGCATGGTGGCTCATGCCTATAATCCTAGCACTTTGGGAAGCTGAGGCAGATGGATCACCTGAGGTCAGGAGTTTGAGACCAGCCTGGTCAACATGGTGAAACCCCATCTCTACTAAAAGTACAAAAATTAGCCAGGGATAGTGGCCCACGCCTATAATCCTAGCACTTTGGGAAGCTGAGGCAGATGGATCACCTGAGGTCAGGAGTTTGAGACCAGCCTGGTCAACATGGTGAAACCCCATCTCTACTAAAAGTACAAAAATTAGCCAGGGATAGTGGCCCACGCCTATAATCCTAGCACTTTGGGAAGCTGAGGCAGATGGATCACCTGAGGTCAGGAGTTTGAGACCAGCCTGGTCAACATGGTGAAACCCCATCTCTACTAAAAGTACAAAAATTAGCCAGGGATAGTGGCCCACGCCTGTAATCCCAACTACTTGGGAGTCTGAGGCAGGAGAATTGCTTGAACCTGGGAGGCAGAATTGCAGTGAGCCAAGATCCTGCCACTGCACTCCAGCCTGGGCAACAGAGCAAGACTCCATCTAAAAAAAAAATCTCTCTCTCTCTCTCTCTCTCTCTCTCTCTCTCTGTGTGTGTGTGTGTGTGTGTGTGTGTGTGTGTAAATTGCTGAGCTCAGAGATTGTGACGAATGAGACAGGGGAATTGACATGCTGGGGCATTTTTATTAACCCTTCCTCCCTGCAGAATTTTGATTAAGTAGACAGGATGGAAGGGGGTTGCTCACGCTGGGGAGGAAGGTGTGGAGGCATGTGTCTCTGAAGGGAGTGGCTCCCTGACATCTGCAGGACCACAAGGTCTTGGGTCTGCTGTACAGTGCCCTGGAGGAGGCTCTCAGGTATAGCTGGTACCAGAATGTCTGGGGACACTGGGACCTAATACTGGGGTCTTGGGGGAGTAGACAGGGTCCCATTCCCATTGTGGAGGCTTGTGGTCAGTGGTGAGGGCAGCTGGGAGGGCATCTTTGTGGCCTGCTGAGAGCAGCTGCAGCCAAGGACCAGTGGAAGCTCAGTCCTGAAGCAGCCTTGTTTGTGCAGCTGGATGCCTGGCAATAACAGTCACCAGGATGGTAATCACAATGATGGGTGCCATTAACTGAGCACTTCATCAATGCCGTTTTCCATGTATTTACTCATTTCTTTATTCCCATTTTATGGATGAGAAAACTAAAAAACCAGGGGGGTTAAGCAACTTGCCTACCTCACACAACTAGTAACAGAGCCAGGAGTTTAACCAGACAGTTCCAGAGCTCACGTCCTTACCCTCTGGGCTGGGCTTCCCCTGCACCGCCCCCTGACACCCTCACTTTTCTGAACATGGTACTCAATGCTGTAGCTGGAGGTGAAGGATGGAACCTCAAAAGATGAGCGAAGATTAAAAAAAAACAAGATGATTAGGTTGAACTTCTGAAAGCCGTGGTGAATGGGAAGCCACAACCGCCTGCAGGGCCAACCGGGCTTGTAAATGAGTAAAGCGGCAGGTGTGAGGCATTAGGACATGGTGGGGCCTGTGGCAGGACAACTTTAAAGAAGGTGGCTGTTACTGAGATGTGCCCTTGGGGCCATGCAGAAACAATGGCCCAGGGCTCTGGAAGATCCAGTTTTCTTAAGATTTTGATTTTGATAGCCCATGTTGCAGAAAAATGTGTGTGTGGGTGATGGCAATGTCTGTTCTCCTCTGCCTCCTGGGTGATCCGCACCAAGATGGGCAGCAGGCCAGTGACCATCAGAGGCCCAGGCCTTTGAAGGATGAGGGTGCTTCGCCCTCTGTGAACTCACCCTCCCCTGCACCTTGAACTGGGTTTTCTTAGACTGCCCTCCTGCCTGCATGCCCCCATCTCCGACAAACAGAAGCTCCGTCTCAGACTTGAATGATCCTCTGCCAGGCCTCTCTGCTGCTTTGTCCAAAGGTCTACACATCTCCCAATGTTCAGGGTTATCTCCCCTCCATCTTCCCCCTTGTCTCCAGCTGCCTTTCTACTGACTGATTTTATTGTTACTGTTTTTATAATTCCATTTGCGCTATCATGCGGCCTGATCTTCCATCTCATTCCACATCAAGCTGCAGCCTGAGCTTGGGTGTTTGTGGGCTTTGCAGCCAGATATGAACAGAAGATAGATTCATTTCCTGCTGCCTGCTTCTCCAACCCCAAATCTCCCAGTGTGATCCAAGAGCCCTGGAGATTTGCCTTCACCACCCCACCCCCTGCCGTAGATGTTTCTTTATAAGCCTTGCTTGTGAATAGGTGTCAGCAAGGGTCTCAGCAGGCAGGATGTGAGCATGTGGGCGCTCGAGATCCCCCTACCGGCCATCACCATCCTCCTGCTGCTGCCAGTATGTCCCTTGAGGATGCCTAGCAGGTCACACCCCACCCTGGGGGCAAACAGTGACTGACAACAGAACCAGCGCTCACCCCTTGCCCCACAGCAAGACAGTTCAGTGGGAGGAATTTGCTCTAGAGCACCCTGAATCAGGCCGAGGCTTTCCCCTTCCGTATTTGGCTTCCTTTGCTCCTCTAGTAAGTCACACATGTGGTACCCTAAGGAGCTAAAAGAAAATTGGAAATGAGCTTAGCTGGCAAGAAGAGACACAGGGTAGAGGGGAGCGGATGTTCTGAAAAATAGCGTCAACCACAAAGGGCTCACTAGCACCCAAGCTTCCTGTCACAAGCATTCAGCTCCCTGCCCACCTGCACCCAAGCTTCCTGTCTGCAAGCCTTCAGCCCAGGCAGCACGACCTTATAAAGTCCCCTGTAGCCCTGCTGTTTTGCAGACAGCATTCCTCTGCTATGTTGCCCATTGCTCTCTTGCAACGCATCTCCCACTTTCTCTAATAAATCTACCTTTCTTTCCCACAACTATCTTGGTAAATTCCTTCACCACCTGTGACACTGCCCCCAGGCAGTCGGGGTTTTTTGTGTTTATTGTTTGTTTTGAAACAGAGTCTCCTCTGTCGCCCAGGCTGGAATGCAGTAGTGCCATCTTGGCTCTCTACAACTCTGCCTCCCAAGTTCAAGCGATTCTCTTGCCTCAGCCTCCTGAATAAGTGGGATTATAGGCGTCTGCCACTACACCTGTCTAGTTTTGGTATTTTTAGTAGAGACGGAGTTTCATCCTGTTGGCCAGTCTTGTCTCAAACTCCTGCCCTCAAGTGATCTGCCTGCCTCAGCCTCCCAAAGTGCTGGGATTATAGGCTTGAGCCACCGCACCCAGTCAGCTCCCAGGCAGTCGTTGACCATGACAACGTGCACCTGAGTCCCTGTTACCAGCTCTGCATCTAAAAAACACGGACATGAGACAACTCCTTACAACACTACAGTGGGCAGTGTCTGTGGGCAGAAAAGGGGCAGCACTGGGCTCGGTGGAGACCAGGCCAAAACACTCCCATGCTTCAAAGGTGAGGGATTTAAATCCTACCTGTCACAGTGGAATTTAAACAATCTTAACTTTTCAACGATAAGGAATATATTCAATATATTATCAAACATGCTTATGATACATATGATGCCATCATGAATGGTGCTGTATGAAGTATAGAAAAACGTTGATATTTGTTGAAGCTCAAGGAATGGCTACATGGAGGTTCATTTTACTCTTCTCTCTACCTTTGTATATGTTTGAAATTTTCCGTAATAAAATATGTATTAAAAATGGATGGAGAAATTGCTGTAGAACATTGAATGATATTTAGAAATAACTCACGCTATATAGTTAAGTGAAAAGGCTGGCTAATTATAACATAGTAAGTCTATATATATATATATATTTTTTTTTTTTTTTAAATATTAAGAAATTGAAAGCTGGGTGCTGTAGCTCACACCTGTAATCCCAGCAACTGGGGAGGCTGAATGGGAGGATGGCTTGAGCCCAGGAGTTCAAGGCTTCCGTGAGCCGTGATTGCACCACTGTGTCCCAGCCTGGGTGACAGAGCAAGACCCCAAAGCTTAAAAAAAAGAAAAGAAACTGAAATGTACTTTCCCATTGACCCAGTAATTCCACTTCTAGACAGAGAAATCCACATGGGAAAGGAGATAGATACAGCCTAAATGGCCGTTAATTAAAAAAAAAAAAAGTGGCTTTTAAAACTACTGTATTGGCTGGGCACAGTGGCTCACGCCTGTAATCTCAGCACTTTGGGAGACCAAGGCAGGTGAATCACGAAGTCAGTAGTCTGAGACCAGCCTGGCCAACATGGTGAAACCCTGTTTCTACTAAAAACACAAAAAAATTGGCTAGGCGAAGTGGCAGGCACCTGTAATCCCAGCTACTCAAGAGGCTGAGACAGGAGAATGGCTTGAACCTGGGAAGGGGAGGTTGCAGTAAGCTGAGATTGCACCACTGCACGCCAGCCCTGGCGACAGAGTGAGACAAAACAAAAAACAAACAAACAAGCAAAATGTACTATATTAAGCCAGGCTTAGTGGTGCATGCCTGTAGTTCCCAGCTACTTGGGAGGCTGGCTTATGCCTGTAATCCCAGCACTTTGGGGCCCAAGATGGGAGGATTGCTTGAGGCCAAGAGTTTGAGACCAGCCTGGGCTACATAGTGAGACCCCTGTCTCTACAAAAAATAAAAACAAAAGAATTAGCCAGATATGGTGACTATTGCCTGTAGTCCCAGCTACAGGCTGAGGTAGCTGAGGTGGGAGGATCACTTGAGTCCAGGAGTTCTAGGCTGCAGCGAGCTATGATAGCACCACTGCACTCCAGCCTGAGGATAGAGCAAGACCCTGTCTATTAAAAAAAAAAGAAAGAAAATAAAGAAAAACAGGGCTGGACGTGGTGGCTCACACCTGTGATCCCAGCACCTTGGGAGGCAGAGGAGGGTGAATTGCTTGAGGTCAGGAGTTCAAGACCAGCCTGGCCAACATGGTGAAACCCACCTCTACTAAAAACACAAAAATTAGCCCAGTGTGGTGGTGGACACCTCTAGTCCCAGCTACTCAGAAGGCTGAGGCAGGAGAATTGCTTGAACCTGAAAGGTGGAGGTTGCAGTGAGCCGAGATTGTGCCACTGCACTCCAGTCTGGGCAATGGAGCAAGACTATGTCTCAAAAAAAAAAAAAAAAAGAAAAGAAAATCAAGTCTTTATATCTCTATGCATATAAAGAATAGTCCAGAGTGCTATTTATTACCCTGATGAAGTGTGACAAGGTGATGAGGGCTGAAGGGAAGGGACCAGGAGTGGGGCTGGCTGACTACTGAGACTTATCTGTCATGTTTAAATTTTTTACAAGAAAAGTATATTTATCTATAATGCATAATTAAAAATTAATAATGCCAAAGACTACATGAATATACACTGAATATATGCTAGCAAGGACCATCTCTGGGTGGTGAGAGTTTCTTAGTTCTTTTCTACAATTTATGAATTTTCTACTGCAAGCATATATGACTTAGGCAATCAAGGTTCGGGGAGGCAGGAAGGGAGAAGAAAGAAAAAAGAGACTAAACTATCATTATTGTGCCAAGATGTGCCCCCACTTTCACCTCCTGGTTGCATCCAGTTCATTTTCCTGGCTCAAGGTCTCCCCATGCAAGGTTTCCTGATCTCTAGTCCCTCCCTCCAAGAGGCTACTCTTTCCTCAGTGCTCTCTGAGTCTTTAAGACCCCCATAGTGGGCACAAACCCCACAGGCCCACGCTGGATAGATGTGTAGGCTTCTGTGCCCAGGGCAGGCCCACCCTGCTGGCTTCTGACCTCCTGGTCATCCCTCAACCCCACTCTCCACCCTGAGCTTGGCCCCTGAGCATCAATTATAGTTGGTGAGATTAACATTGTTCAGAGACCTTCAACAGAGAAGAGGAATCCTTTACATGTGCTTTTCCCTCCCAACTTGGGGGTCCTTGTGTATCCTAGGGGTCTTCTGGCCATTCCTCCCATCCCCAGCACCTCCAAGGGTGCATTGTCACCCCAGATTCTTGTTCAGCTGTTCTTTCTCACTAAGCACCTACTGTGTGCCAGACATTGTTCTGGGCATGGAGATATAGCAAAATAAGTGAGCAGCTCACAGTGACATGCCCAGTAAATGGCAGAGACAGGACTTGACCTCAGACCTTCAGATGCCATGTCTGACAGTGACTCCAGAACCTCACACCCCAGAACCATCAAGGGTTAAATTCTTCTTTTGAGTAGAGCCACGGCAGCCATCATAGTTCATTTCTTGGCACCCTTTCACCAATGTGGTTATTCTGAAGTTCAGGGCAATTACTTCACCATTGCCCTTTGCTGTAGGTTTGTTGGTTTTTTTTTTTTTTTTTTGAGATGGAGTCTTGCTCTTGCCCAGGCTGGAGTGCAGTGACACCATCTTGGCTCACTGCAACCTCCGCCTCCCGGGTTCAAGAGATTCTCCTGCCTCAGCCTCCTGAGTAGCTGGGACTACAGGTGCACGCCACCACACCCAGCTAGCCCTTTGCTGTTCTTATTCCTTCCTTGACTGAATAAATCTTTAAGGTAACAAGAAGGGAAAATATAGGGCAGATCTCCTCTGTGCCTATAAAACCAAGATGTGAGATTATTATATTTCTTCATGTGCTAAGTCAAACAGATCAAATATTTTAATGCATAATTTTACAAAGCACATCTTTTCCTGTGACTACACAATGACTTATAATTGCTTTCTGCAAATACTGGCCCTATTTCCAAAGAAGGAGATCTTTAATTTGCAAGTTTGCCTTGTCTGACTCTTGTTTTTTGTTTTCTTTGAGACAGAGTCTGGCCCTGTTGCCCAGGCTGGAGTTTAATGGCATGATCACAGTTCAATGCAGCCTCTACCTCCTAGGCTTAAGAGGTCCTCCTGCCCTGGTCTCCTTAGTTGGTGGGACCACAGGCACATGCCACCACCCCTGGCTAATTTTTTAACTTTTCTTGTGTAGAGACGAGGTCTTGCTGTGTTGCCCAGGCTGGTTTCAAACTCCTGGGCTCAAGCAATTTTCCCACCTCAACTTCTGAAAGTGCTAGGATTGCAGGTATGAGCCACCATGCCCAGCATCTGACTTATTTCTTAAGTAAACACACTGCCATTTATGTATGTATGTATGTATTTATTTATTTTTGAGTCAGAGTCTTGCTCTGTTGCCCAGACTGGAGTCCAGTGGCACAGTCTTGGCTCACTGCAACCTCTGCCTTCTGGGTTCAAGCCATTCTCCTGCCTCAGCCTCCTGAGTAGGTGGGACTACTGGCCTGAACCACCACGCCCAGATAATTTTTGTATTTTCAGTAGAGACAGTGTTTCACCATGTTGGCCAGGCTGGTCTCAAACTCCTGGCCTCAGATTATCCACCCACCTTGGCCTCCCAAAGTGCTGGGATTACAGGTGTGAACCACCATGCCTGGCCATGCCCTGCCGTTTAAAGTCTGCAGTAAGAAAGAATTTTTCCATTTAGAAAATCCATGCCCTTATGGAGTGTGCAGTCTGTTAGGGGAGGTAGACAACACATCAAATAATAATACAGGAGGTTAGATAATGACCGAGGCTCAGGGAAGAAATAAAGCTGGAAGAGGGGTGGGATGGGTTTCCGACAGGGAGGGAGCTGAGTGAAGACCTGAGAGAAGGGAGGGAGGAAGGGAGGGAGCCAGCTGGCAGAGCACCCCAGGCACCCAGGCAGAGGTGCAAAGTCCTTGAGGCAGGAATTCTTGGTGATCTTCAGGAAGAGGAAGAGGCAAATGTGGCTAGTAGGAGAGAGTCACGTAGGGCCTTTTGGTCCAACATAAGGACTTCAGCTTCTACTCCAGGAGAAATGGCAAGCCATGGAAGGGCTCAGAAAAGAGAAGTGACATGTTCTGCCAGGACTAATCCTGTGGCTGTGTTAAAAATACATCACAGTTCTGGCTGCACTCACCTGAAATATCTCTTAG